CGATACTCAACTTGTTCGCCCCTCGGACATCCGAGCCCATGTAGACGGCTTCTATAAAGCCCTTTTCACCCCCCACCCCTCGGGGTGGGGCTGCGCTGGCCCCCGATACCTAGTCGGGTGCCTAGCTTGTCTCCGACGAGGCCAACGCCGCCTTGGTGGCGCCTTTCTCGGAGGAGGAGGTTCTTACGGCGATCAAAGGAATGAACACCTCCTCGGCTCCGGGCCCGAATGGATTGACAGTCTCATTTTTCAAAACATTCTAGCCAACCATCAAACCGGAGGTCATGGCCCTCTTCGACGAGTTCTTCTCTAGGACCATGGACCTTGGTCGCCTGAACTATGGGATCATTACCCTCATCCCCAAGGTTCCGGGGGCCTCGGGCATTCGCCAGTTTCGCCCGATCACGGTGATTAACATGATCTTCAGGATCCTGGCTAAAGGGTACGCCAATAGGGTGACCCTTCTAGCGGACTCTGTCACCCACCCTAACCAATCCGCCTTCATCCAAGACCGGTTTATTTTGGATGGGGTGTTGGTCTTTCACGAAGTCCTCCATGAAGTCCGATCCAAACACCACCGCGCGGTTTTCCTTAAGCTCGACTTTCACAAGGCCTATGACACTGTCCACTGACCCTTCCTTCAGGAAGTTTTGCTTCGAAAGGGCTTCGACGACCGCTGGGTGACCCGCGTTATGCAATTCGTCACCTGTGGTCGGGCGGCGGTCAACATCAACGGCGAGATCAGTCCCTACTTCCCCACCTTATGTGGGGTTCACCAAGGCGATCCGTTCTCCCCGTTCCTATTTAACATGGTTGTCGATGCCCTCGCGGTCATCCTCGATAAGGCCAAAGCTTGCAGCCATATTCGGGGCGTTGTCCCCCACCTAGTGGACGAGGGAGGGGTTTCCCTCCTCCAATATGCGGATGACACCATAGTTATGGTGGAGGGCTCCGCGTCCGACATCGCCAACCTGAAGTTCCTCCTCCTATGCTTCCAACAGATGTCGGGGATCACCATCAACTTCGACAAGAGCGAAGTGATGGTACTCGGCTACCCCCCGGATGAAGCTTTGTCCATTGCGGACCGACTGAACTGCCGCCTAGGCTCCTTCCCCACGACTTACTTGAGGGTGCCCATTAGTGAGTCAAGACTCACCATTGCGGATCTCCGTCCAAGGTGACTAGGATGCAGCACAAGGTTGAACCTTGGAGGGGGCGTTGGTTGTCGAAAGCTGCCAGGGTGATCCTAATAAACTCTTCGCTTGCCAGCCTTCTCTGGTTTCTCATGAGCTTCGACGGTCTCCATGAGACCCTCCATCAGGAGGTGGCCAAATACCAGTCGAGATTCTTTTGGGCTGGCGATGGCGACAAGCAGAAGTACCATATGGTGAGCTGGCCCGACATCTGCAAACCCAAAGACTAGGGCGGCCTTGGGATCCTATCATCCCGACGCATGAACATCGCTCTCCTGACCCGATGGCTGTGGCGCATTGCCAATGGGGAGGGAGGCCTCTGGCTCACCATCATCCGCAATAAGTACCTTCGTGGCCAACCTCTTACCTTTTGCCAACGTACGGGTGGATCCCAGTTCTGGCAGTCCGTGATCCAGCTTCTGCCCGTACTCCACATCGGCGCATCCATCTCGGTTGGCTCCGAGGCCTCGACCTTGTTCTGGTTCGACCGTTGGCTAGGGGACTCCCCCTGGCTGCGCGATTTCCAGAACTTTTTGTCATTGCGGCTGACCCTCGGGTCTCTGTTGAGACGGCCCTTATTGACTTAGGGCGTCTCGCCTTCCGACGCCCTTTTGGCCCCCTCGAGGTGGCTGCTTGGGACTCCCTCCTCCAAGACATCGCCCTTATGCCGATGAACATCGAGGAGGACCGGGATGCTCTTTCCTGGCGCCTTGAGCCCTCTGGGCGTTTCTCCACGCAGTCCCTGTACGCCGCCATCACGCCCTCGACGGCCCCGGAACCCTTTAGCCTGATCTGGGATATCCGCCTACCGCTTTAGATCAGGATTTTCCTGTGGTAATGGATCCATGGACGCCTCCCTTCTGGGGTGGAAGTCCTCAAGCGTAATGGCCCAGGTGATGGGCTTTGCCCCATCTGTGGCACGGTAGAGGATGCGAACCACATCTTTTTCTCGTGCTACACTGCCCAGTTCCTATGGGCCTGCTTCCGCGAAACAGTTGGCGGACAGTGGTGCAATACCAACTTCCCCGACTTGCTTGCCGAGCTCAATGCTTCCCCTGCTCGCTACCGCCATATTATATGGTTGTGCGTTGGGGTTCTAGCCTCGTCGCTTCGGAACATTCGCAATAAGCTTGTTATTTAGAAGGTGCCCCTCCGACGTGCGACTGACGCAATCTTCAAAATGTGTGGCTACTTGCAGATTTGGCGGCCGCTTAGCCGCCCCCAAGACCGAGACGTCATCACCACCCTCCTCTCCGACCTC